TTGAAATCTAAAGTGAAAAAAGCACAGGTCAGCTTTAATCGATTATTCTGTTAAATTAGCACTTACATGACCTGTATGTTATTGTGCCTCAAGATAAGACGTCCAATAACTTGATTATTGTCTACAAACATTATTACATTTCCTGTTTACAAAAAGAACAGGGGTTTGTTTGATAATGAAGGAAACCCCAACTTTACATTATGCAATCTGTCATAAGACGAAATTATGACTAACCATGCTTCGTTATTACAAAAAATTAGATTGCTTGTTATTGTTAAGGATACGGACCTCCTCTATTAATATTGGATCCCCAAACCCCAGAAGAATCTGTTTAAACCAAGTCTTTGTCAAAACTACTAACCACCATTCTAATTAATACCAAATCCGGGTTACAGTCTTATTGTGATGCTGATTTCTCATGAAGTGGAATTAATAGTATGTGGATAATGAAGAGCTCCAACGATCATTTGGCTAATCTTCAACATCCTCCTCTACATAACGTTTATGTTATAAGAACATTTTATTTTTCACTCTGTACACCAAGATGTCCTATTCTTAACCTTAAGTAACGCCTTCGTTCTCTTGTTATGAGAGCTTTCTTCCTCAAGGCAGTAAAACGGCGGTTTTGTTGTGGACCAAATGGAAGCGTATGTCGTGAAAAACAGTCCAAATCATGGAAGAAATATACGGAGGACGAAATCATCAAAATGATCGAGTTTCTGTTTGACAACATCAATATCGAGTTTGGTGGTAAGATCCTCCAACAGACTATTGGCGTACCAATGGGAACCAAGTGCGCTCCTCTGTTATCTGAATTGTTTTTTGATTTCATACGAGGCTGAATTTAATGTTAAACTTATCAAAACAGGCCGTATATAAAGACCTTGCATATTCGTTTAATTACACTTTCAGATATATTGATGACGTATTGTATTTCTATAACAAGAAATTTATTGACCACGTCTATCGTATGTACACCGCAGAATTGGAAATCAAAGACACGGTAAACTATTCTACATTAGACATTTATTATTTCCATATCCTACAACCAAATCAACATGGCCAACTTTCCTACAACCCTTGTATGAACAAAAACAAATCAGCTTAGTTATCTGATTTAAAAAAAACAAGACTTCTATGACAAATGTTACAACAACAAAAACAACACAGCTTAATAACACATATATCCTTTAAGACACTTGAACAACAGGTTTTTTCATAAAAGGAAAACGTTTACAGCAATTTGAAGTTATTCTTGTCCTTTCAGATATTGAAAACTATTTCCTCAGTGTTTAAAATCCAGCAATTTTGTACCGATTACAACCTAATGATTGTTTTCCTAGAAACTGAGTGAACAAAAACATTTAGGCCACTTGTAAGAACACTCAATTAGTTATTATCAGTGGTCCCTTCCCTCCAGCAACGTTCATAAAGATGTCTTGAGTGTTTTCAGTTAATATTAACGAACAAAGGCTCTATTTAAACTTGTATGATGCAAGATTTCTACTTATCAGGAAATACTTTATATAAGAGGAAATTACAGGACTCCGACTGCTCTCGACGTTAGAATGTGTATTAGATTTCTATTTCATGTAAAACGATATACATTTGAATTTTTCGATTTTCATCAATTGTTATCGCCGTATATCTCATATTGACTAACTACCAAACAATGCAATGGCAATGTCCTATAAAATGGGTCCATCCCTTGACTTTCATTATGATGTGTGATCATTTTGTTGTGCAAAAAAAAAAAAAAAAAAACTAAAAAGGTGATATCATCATTTCTTAAAAAAGTATCAATATGTCAAAACATCAATTAATTCAGAGAAAATAAAAAGAAAGGAGGGGAAAGATCCTACTTAAACAGAACCATTAAAAATCATACATCGGCGGATGGGAAGATCCCTCCCGAATATGTTGTTAGTGCATCGGTGTCATGACGCAGTGTCAATCATCTATCCGTCGTCTGTCATCCGTCCGAAATTTCATTCAGGAAATCGCTGCTAGTCATAAACAATAAAGTGGTTTCCACCCTAATTTTATTCCAAGCATTCTTTGGGAAAGAAACCAGTTTTGAATTAAAAGCGTGTCTTAGCCCCCTGCCCAGGTGGCATCAGTGGTGAGACCTAAAAGGAAAAATATTGCACAGTTTTTAAAGTGCTCCTTCTTTTGTAGATATGACACGATTTTGTCAAAGATTTGGTCTTTAAAACCCGTTAGTAAATGGAATACATATTCGTATGAACGGTGGATCTGACCATCAAAAGGGCAAGGACTAGCACCTCGGGAAATGAGAGTGCATAATAAGCGTTTTATGAATCAAATCATGTAGGAATAACAGGATTCTATGGTGATTTGTTCGACGCATCCTTAGTAAAGACCACTCAATAGTATATGTACGTGTGGTCTGACTCCTTGGCGTAGAGGGGAGTGGTTCAATAGGGAAAATAGAGAATCGCTTTAAAATCCTTGCTCTGTTGGGATGTAGAAAATTTGACCAAATTTTGTCAGCTGCATCTTTGGTAAGTGGTAACCCGTAGTGAATAGGGCTTGGTCTAAAAGAAAATATATAACAAATTCTTCAATATTCACTTTGTTCTGCAGTCCAGATTTGCAATGAAGCATGCTTTGATGAGGTAGACTCACTGGTTTCTACCTGAAACTCTCCCTCTGCGAAGCCGTGGGACGCGGCGCAGTTGTTCTGACCCTGCAGCCTCCTCCACCCTTTGAGCCCAGGGAAGGAACCAAATTCATATAGATCATATAGAAGCTGCCTTGACTAATACTCCCTCCTTGTCAGTGGGTAAGTATTCTGTCTCTTTCATATTGATAAAGAGTACTGGTTCTTTAATGGAAAAGCAGTCCACAAGGCAACTGAATTAAAAACATAGAATCAACACATATCATGATAAAATTTCAAAAGTAATAGTGTTCTGAAATGAAAATATCGAGAAGAATTGTTATTCATTAGAATTATATCACCATTCAAGTTTTCGTTCATTCTGAAGGTTTCAGAATTCATTATTATTTTTGGTATCATACAGGTACAAAAAACGTCTAAAAATGCAAAAAAAATATCCTTTTTTCATGTTAACAATGCATTTATTGAAAATTTGTTGCGTAAAATGAAAGTGCAACAACTGAATAGGATAGCTGAAATTCAAGTATCCTAATATAGAATGTGGTCACTTTACTTTAAGTGTTCTCTCTAACACATGCCGCAACGCATGTGAGGTATATAGGACAACGTAATAACTTTACTGTCGGTATAAAAGCGACATTTATCACGACTATACGGTAAGTTATCCTTCTTAAATCTGTGTTTTGGTGCCAGTTTTTTGTGTATATAGCATTAATTTATAAGAGAAATATATACATTGTTGATATTGTTTTAGTCTACTGTTCTGGTGTTATTAATTTTTTCAGTAATTGACTGGACATATTTTAATTGTGATTTAGCCTGTCGAAATATGAATTTTGAATAATTCAGCATAACTCTAATCAAATATTACGTTTGACGTAAATTCACATTTTGTAAGATATTATTAATCTATTTTCTTTATCTAGATATGAATCAGTGTTCATTCTGAACATAGTTTTCGACTAGATGACTTAACATTGTACCAACATATAAACCACATGTTTCATGATGAATATGGATTAAGCTTTATATAAAGACCAGTAATCGGTGGTATTACTTCATCAAAGTGAAAGTTCTATATATATATATATTACTTATCCCACTTGCCCTACAAATTGTACTTAAACTTTGATTCTTCATTTACCAATAATGAACTATGCAGCTCATTCAAAATTACAATTGTTATTTGACTTGGTCATAATTTAGTTCACAAAGGCTGGTTTCACTCAGATCTCAATTTGTAGCCAGGAGTGTTTCTCCCCCAAAAGGAATTTCAAAACTAGATTCTTTAAACACTCCGAAGTAAAGAATTGTTATTTTATAAATTAAGAAACGTAGTGAGCTAATTTTACCATATCTTGTTTCGGTACTTGATCATTTAAAACATATCTAATCAAATTATCATGTACTGTTGAATGTCTTATAGCCTATTGACCAGTACAGAGTATCTCATTGATTCTGTCCTAGAATGTTGAAGATATTGATTTTATCTTTCATCGAAAATAAATTAATCTGTTTCGATAAGTTTTGTAAGTTTTGATATTCTGGTACTTTTTCAATATCGACAGTAATATAGCATATGATATTATAGAATGATTACTCTCCAGCGACATTAGAGTGATCAAATATTTATGTTCTTTCTGTGAATGAAAACGGTTTGTTAGGAGGGTTGCGCCATTTCCTGTGTGATAAATAAAATTAACATATATTTATAATGTATAAAGTCTACACAGACCATTCAACTTCCTTTTATTAAGATGGCAGAGGAAACAAATCATGCCAACCAGTCAAAACGGCAACTATAAAAAAGGGAAACAATATTCTGGCCAATCAAATTAGAGAATACAACAATAAAAATACAACAAAAAGTACCCCCAATTGAAAATCAAAGATTAATTGAAGAAACATGTTTTCGCATTAGTGAAGATCAAAACTTAGAAAACCAGATCACCACAACTATCAAATTACATAAGTTAACATAAGAAAAAAACCCAATAAAGATAGATGAGATCGATGACAGGAAAACATAATTAGATACCAATAAAAATTATAACAACACAATACCTTAATACATTAGATAGGTTGGTTTAGGCGATTTTTCGTTAACTCTTTAATCCGCACTTTTGACAGGGTTTGTATTTCTTATCCATCATGATACTAAAAATAACACGAAATCCTCAACATCCTAACAGAATCATAATCCAATCTTATATTCAATAAAACAAAATATGAACTGAGGGAAGATGTATATGGAGACAAGGACAATGAAAAATAGGACCAGGCGTTCGGGAAGAGTAAGCTTTTGTTTTTTTCACTAGCATTCCGGTCGCCGTACAATAACGAGAGGAAAGTCAAGATGAATGAGTCGCCCGCATCGATCTCAAGCAGGGATGTGGAGAGAAATGGTAAGGTGTGTGTGTGTGTGTGTGTGTGTGTGTGTGTGTGAGAGAGAGAGAGAGAGAGAGAGAGAGAGAGAGAGAGAGAGAGAGAGAGAGAGAGAGAGAGAGAGAGAGATGCACAAAAATAATTAATATTAATACTTAGCAAAACAATGAATAAAACTGCACCATACTGCAATTAAAATATCTTATTCCGAATAATAAATTCAGCTGCAACATTTAGCTTCTGAACGGCGCTTGCAATGTTGAAATCTAGGAGAACTATCGAAGCTAAATTCGAACAAATGTGACTATGTATACAGGAAGGCGCAATAATGCAATATTTTGATTGATTCTGCTCTATCCACTTATCGCATAACGTGAACTATTAAAGTATAGACAATGTACTAGATGTGTTATATCGTACAAAAAGCACTTTCATTTAGTACAAATCCTCAATAGGAAACTGAACAACAATGTCTGCCAAACGGATATCCTTATTAACATCCATAGTACTGATATTGGTGTAATGTTATTCCTCCTTTATAGCCAGTCCGCCGACTTATGATTCCTTATATGGAAAGCTAAAAGCTGCAAGTGAGGGCTCGAAAGGAAAAGTCGACTTCGCCAAGACGTCTATTGGCATTATATGCGGCTCACGTATGTATTCGCTTGTTTGTAATATGTTTATACTCTGATAGATACAATGATAATAATCAGAGAAAGCATTAACCGGTGATAATGTTGACTGGACTGATGCTCCGATATTGACCACTAGGTCCTCGTTAATTAAGATGAATTCATTAATTTGAAATCTAATACACTGTAAAAACCTCTCTTTGCATTCTGTCATATTGATATGCTCACTAACACTAACCGAACCGACGTAATATAACACCTACATGTCATGAGTGATATACATGTATGACTTCCTGTACCATGAGTGATATACATGTATGACCTCCTGTATCATGGGTGATATACATGTATGACTTCCTGTATCATGAGTGATATACATGCATGACTTCCTGTATCATGAATGATATACATGTATGACCTCCTGTATCATGGGTGATATACATGTATGACTTCCTGTATCATGAGTGATATACATGTATGACTTCTTTTACCATGGGTGATATACATGTATGGCTTCCTGTACCATGAATGATATACATGTATGACTTCCTGTATCATGAATGATATAAATGTATGACTTCCTGTACCATGAATGATATACATGCATGACTTCCTGTATCATGAGTGATATACATGTATGACTTCCTGTACCATGGGTGATATACATGTATGACTTCCCTGTATCATGAGTGATATACATGTATGACCTCCTGTATCATGGGTGATATACATGTATGGCTTCCTGTATCATGAGTGATATACATGTATGACTTCCTGTACCATGAGTGATAAACATGTATGACTTCCTGTACCATGAATGATATACATGTATGACTTCCTGTATCATGAGTGATATACATGTATGACCTCCTGTATCATGGGTGATATACATGTATGACTTCCTGTATCATGAGTGATTTACATGTATGACTTCCTGTATCATGAATGATAAACATGTATGATTTCCAGTACCATGAATGATATACATGTATGACTTCCTGTATCATGAGTGATATACATGTATGACTTCCTGTACCATGGATGATATACATGTATGACTTCCTGTATCATGAGTGATATACATGTATGACTTCTTTTACCATGGGTGATATACATGTATGACCTACTGTATCATGGGTGATATACATGTATGACTTCCTGTATCATGAATGATATACACGTATGACCTCCTGTATCATGGGTGATATACATGTATGACCTCCTGTATCATGGGTGATATACATGTATGACTTCCTGTATCATGAGTGATATACATGTATGACTTCCTGTATCATGACTGATTTCTTGTTACAGTTTTATTCCTGATATGCATCGTAATTTCGTTGGCTTTCCCACTAGCAAAGATAGCAATAGGTGAGGGCCCTTTTTTCTATCGAATTTTTTTGATGATTCTCTTTACCAGGTTACATTCCCACGAAGTAAGTAAACTTTCCTAGGTCCTCATCATTATAACACGAAAATGGCCACCTGTCTACTCATAGTTTTTCATCCTTTAGCGAGCAATACGTTGATTTTTACTCATTCATTGTTTTTTCTTCGGTTGGTACTCCCTGTGAAGTTAATCCTGATTTCTGAAAATTGAAAATAATCATCTGTCAAATGTCTAATTACCAAAACATCCTTGTAGTGATTTTTGTTTTACATTTTTCTGATCACACTTACCAGAATGCTAGGTTGCTATTACCATATAATCTTGTTTGATTTTCCCTTTTAAAGAAAAAAACCAGAAGACATTGTCATTATTCCAAATTATTTGAATGGTGAATTTAACAACTTACATTTTTGTAGTTTGAGATGCGGAAATGGCACTAGGGAAAATTTTAAAGCCTTCACTAGATTTTCCTTTGTTTTTTCCTCGGAAATAAAATTAATACATATTTCTTGCAGAACATCATCCTACCAATATATTATATGACATGAGCCACAACAAAACACTTCTCATCGTTACAAGTAATCAACTTGCCTTATCTCCAAATGAAACTTACTACTTAAAACCTGAAGTAATGTGTTGTTCTGAAAAAAAGATTTTAATACCTGGCAACCGTTAAGAGTGAAATTATATTCATTTTCGTTCTGCAGTTTGATGGTATCTAAATATGAATGGCAAGCTGGTAACGAGAGGTATCTCTGTAGTAGTTTACGTTCCTTCCTGTCCATGTGTGATAAGACTAGTAAACCATTGAATCACTTTTTTTTGTTTTTGTTTTTTTTTTGGCGAATCGCATTTCCACCCCAGGTGAAATCCACTGAAATTTAAAAAAAATTCGACTTTATGGTTTTCTTATCACACTTTGTTCATTTATCTCTCTTCTAATTACTTTCCCTGAAAGGTTCGCTCTACTTTTACGACTGTCCAGCCCAACGTCTCATTCCTATCTACCTGATAGTGGCAGGCGTATTCGGCACCCTGAAAGGAATTGAACTGATAGGACAGAATGTTGAATCAAGAAAGGATCAATCTAACAGAGCAGATGAGAATCCAACTAATCCCGCTGACGGCATCCTTAATCTGTTCTTGCTGGCATGGTTTATTTGTGGTGGGTTATCGACCTTTGCTAATCTGTGCTATTTTCCAATTCTCGAATAGGGGTTTCTGCACCAGATTTAATATTTCTGTTAATATTTAACTCTTATAAAATCTTATCAAACAAGTCTATTTTTGTCATAAACTGATTTTGCCAATAGTGTCGAATCCCAGTCACTCATTTATAATGAAATATCATTATTTACAAATATTTTCATTGATTTCGAACCGAGAAATTCTGTTCTGGGTCTATTAATCAATCTAGGTTTACTTGTAGTTATAATGGACCCAATAGCTATTCAACAATATACCTCTTTAAGTGACCAGTTACTTTATTTATTGATCTCCTAGTTTAATTTGTTTGAAAGAAAACTTGCTGGTTTTGTATATTTCATTTCATCAAGGTGGTATACAAGTGTATGTATTCAGAAATGAAACTGAAACCGATATACCATGACATAAGCAAGTATTAATATACAAATTTCCAAATTTCTCATCTATTGTATCTATGAATGACATATTTATATTTACCAAGAGATATTTTAGAGTTGATTTTATGGAGCTAAACTAATAATAATCCAATATTAGCATACAGTTCATAATTAAATAATATTTTCATTAAACTTGTGGCCGACTTTTCTAAATCCAACCTTTATTCCACAAAATTACACATAGGGACATTGTTTGCAATGTTAAAATTGTATGTAATCAGGTATCAAAGGAAGGCATCTGATATTTTTTTCAATATGTCAACTTCTCGTTTTAGAATAAGGAATTTATTTTCATTTTGTGACGTGTGAAATTTATTGTTTTCCTAGGAAATGTCTGGGTATACGGACTGAAGGATGAATGGGTGTCTTCTCCGTCCACTGCCGGAAACTACTGCAATCCGACACTCTTCTACTTCTCCTTCTGGTCCATCACCTTGATCTATATTTCATTCGGGATTGTCTGTCTCTTCAGCTGTATCGGGTTAATCGTTATCAACTGTGTCGCCAACAAAAACTAACATTCCAGATGATATTGGCTGTAGAAAGTAAAGATCCTCGTTCTGCTGTTGTTTTCTAGCCTCTATATCTCTGCTAATGCCTTCCAGAGAACGGAACTGGGATTTTGACTGGTACAATTGGATATCAGGTGAAGAGTCATTATATACCTTCTACGTTCAATCCTGTCCAAAATATGAATACTGTTGTTAACTAATTACGAGTTATTTCATGTCAAACACGCTATTTCTTTTCTCGGTCAACGTTACACCTTTAAACTGAAATCCAATAAATATTTTAAACAATGTTTTTTTAAGATACCTATGTGTCTTTTTTTGTAAGATACCTATGTGTTTTGTTAAAATCATAGGATGTTATACGATAATGGGGAAAGGAATCAACAGACATGAAGTCGAGTTCAGTTCCCCGTTTCAGGTATATGTAATCACACATTTAGCAATACAAATGTCCTTACTTTCTATATTGAAATACAATAAAGGTATTTTTGTCACCGAAGGACCCACCAGAATTTGAAATCAAAGATACGACAGACTCTTCAATATCAGTTGCTTATTTCGATCTTTTCCTGAGTGCGTGTTGTCTGCAATATACATATGAAATATAAAGATATGCATCCCGTGCTGGGGGATATCAATCATTGGAAAAATTATCATACCAGAACGCAGATTTAAACAGATACAATGAGTGACTGCTCTCTAAAGTACGTATACGTATACCTGCTATTGTAAGTTACCTCCACTGGAGATCATAACGGATATTTCAATCGATTCAAATAAAACATTCACTTGAAAAGAAGTAAAAAGCTTAAATAAGAAGGGCACTAAAATATTGAATTTTTCTACAGATAGAAATTGATTAGATGACAAAGCTTACTGCTATTAGAAATCTATAACACGACAAATAATTCTACTTTTTTAATTTATCAGATTGCTCAATCATCTGTAATGAAGCATCAACTAGATAGCAACACTATCTACAATTAGAAGCTAATTACATGACTATTATTATCTGCAAATAGCAATCAATTAGATTACAAAAACAAAAATTACATTACATTATGGAACTTAAACGTTGAATAAGAACATTTGACGACTCATCAAAAATTATATACAACAGAGAATAAACAAATGATTCATAAAAAAAATAAGACATTCATACCAAAAAGGACTCGTGCTGTTTAACATTCAAAACTAAACTGTTTGATAGATATAAACCTTTACACAATAATATTTCTTCAAACCAAGTAAGTTTTTTAAACACAATGACATCTACACAAGGTTCTACTTCCGAAATAATACTGTTGATTTAATTACTTTGATATCACATTGTAGTCGTTGGTAGATTGTTGATACTGATCGCAAGAGTTATCTACCTTCCAGTGTGGATCTCTAAGCCCTGAGGTAATGAATGATCGCTTACAAGTTTCTACTGAGATTAAGTTAAACCTAGTTTTACTCGCCATATTTTGAGTCTAGATAAGAATATCTTAAGACCATTAATACACAATCGATAAGTGACTGCATGAAAAATATTTCATTGACTGAAAAAATATCTTGACGTTAGAAAATGTTTCTGTATTGAACCTGGAATGACTTTCATCTAGTCCAGTTGATTTTGTTTTCATCTGGGCTAATTGAGAAAGACATCAAAATAGGAAAACAAGACAGACCTTATTCTTTTTCACTTTGAAATATACTTGTGAATTTCTTGGCTTTAAATAGCAAACCTAGCCCCTCATTTCAAAACTGGAAATCAAGGACAACTAACACTGCTACATTAGCACATTACCTTGACCTTTCAATTGCTGGAATACTGGATGCTGGTGATGTTTTTTAATTCCCTATTTTGAATTTTCCATTTTTAAATAACATCCTTGCTTCCCCATGCAACGATGTTGACATTTCGAAATTCTAAGCCGAGTTTTTTTCCAAATATCAGGATCACCGTGACAGAAAATACCATAAATGATGTCATTGTGAAAACTCCTTGTTAGTACTTACCCGCATCCAGTAGTTTTCTCTCTGGTGAATATAAACACTTTGAATTAGTCTTTTTTATGTTCGGAAACTGTGTTAACGACTCTAGGATACGGGTCACACACCACTAACACAAAAACCACTAATGAAGGATTTAAAGCAACATGTTATTATCAAATAAAGAGAGCAAGGTAAGCCAACACTACTATTCATGTTGCAATAGTTTGTTCCAAAGAAGTGGAAAAGGACATTCAATCAAAACACATATTTGAAGCAAATCTGAAACGAAGTTTAATTTTTAAACATGCTGTGGTAAAAACGTCAGGGCACAGGGCACAAAGACCTAACAAAGTCGTTCAATTTTTTGTCTTTAAATAAAAGGACCACGTCCATCGTACATATCCTCCTTGCTGTGAATTTTCCGTTTCTGGTAGCAATATCCCTGATTCTCCAACCTATGGTATTTACAGATGATTCGATATTCAATGTTTTCATGTTTACGTTTCTATAAAATAAACATAATAAATTCCATCACTAAAATAAAAATTAATTATATAAACGAGCATAAAAATCATTATTCTTAATTAAAATTGAAGACAAAATATATAAAAAAAGAAAACACCTACATCGAAATCCTTCGCAAATATCAGGCGAATTAAAGAACTCTGATTAGTAAGTAGGATATCTCCCAATGAGTTCATGTTTGACCAAACAGAACATTTTTATTGTCTTCATCCAGAAGGGGTTTTTGAAGAGCAGAAATGATGTTTATAGAAATTATCATCGCTTAATTTTAATGTCTGTTGGTTTGTTTTACGTGACGATCGGTGTTATCGACTTCTCTACGGCGTGTCCTTGATATTAAGTTCGTCAGCCTTTTTTTAATAAGCGTTATAAAATATGTTTTGCTTTGATGAAGTTTGTTACATCATTGTTAAACTGTCATTTTTGGGAATACAATTAACGTTCAAAATATTTATTAACAAATGAAACTTGTTACAAATTAATAGTTTAAACCGGATGATAGTTTCTATATATGTCACGGAAACATACAACTAACCACTTTCAAATAAGAAACCAGAAAAATCACTTATCACATTCACCTTTTAAGTATAAGCGGTATATTTTCAAGGCGACAAAGCACTTTATCATTTAACAATACATGTTTGCGTTGCTATAAATTGTCTTTTAAGATTGTTTTAGTCAGAAAGATATGTTAAGCGATGTGTGAAGCATTTTCGATGTTGTAACGAGGTCTTGGTACAAAATACCATTGTTTACCGACGATACTGTGTATTATGGCACTGTGTGTTGATGGTGTGGAATCACTTTAAAAGCTAACCCCAGAACAGCAAAGACGTTGACATAACGATCTATTTCTGATATAAAACCATCTGTGACTGAAGGCACTGAAAATTTGGTATCAAAGTGGGTTCCACATTTATTTACCATAACCTCGTGCCCTTTAGCTTTAATTTTGTTTCTGTGAGCAGTTTGGAGTAACGTATTCCAGCGCCGTAAGACCTAAATAAAGACAGTTATGGCCTTTAACGATCCGAAATGTCTGTCATGTAGGTTGAATTTATGCCCACGTATCTTATTAGGATTTGAAACGTTGATTAAAAATTTCTTCTTCAAGCCCATAAAACTAATTAAGAAATATGTTAATGTTCCGTGACTAGGACTTAGCATTATTGCTCGTTAGCGCTGTTCCTCGTTACACTGTTAAAACACAGAGCTCCTAAACTTAACGTAACGCTGTCGTTTTGTCACCCTCGTAAAACTACTCGGCAAGTGCTGCTGTTGTGGTGGCTGCCGGATTGTGAAATGCAATGGAAGAAATTCTTGAGAAAATAAATCAAGGTTTTTTTCTACAATCCTTACCCAATTCAATTATCATACGTTTTAAATCTTGATCTTCTGGGGCTTAGTCTAAATTCTTACCAGATTAATCATGAAACCAAAGGCAAACTCCAGAGGAAAGATGTAATGAGTATGTGAAGAAGTGAAACTGAAATTTACACAGGATTCAATTTCATTATTTTTGCATGAAATGGACATGAATACACGATGGTTCTGATTACAAAAACAAATCGTTTTGCCATCGCTGGTTTCAGTATTCTAATAGTTTGGGTGACTGGATTACATATTTCAGCTTTAAAGAAATATTTTAAATAGAAAAAATGGAAACAAATAAAAATGAAAAACTGGATAGCCTAGCTGCTCAATATCTCTAAGTACAGACTGAAAAAAGGGAGATAATTTATTCTATGGATTTACATCCATCTTATATGTCTTTTGTATAGTCAGTGCAGGTGGACTTCACTCCTCGAAGTTTGCCGTAACCTGCAAGTCACGCATCAATTAAACGGTTCAGAATATACACATGAAAGTGGCTTTTTTAATCGTGAAATTTATTGAATTTGAGCTTGGTCTGCCTCCTCATCTGATTTCTGACATTCAATGCGACCCTTTTTGAATTATTCTCAGTCGCCTTCTAACTTTCAACAAGACAGAAACAGCTGTATGATGCAATTTAGACTATAAATATGTTGTGAAAGGTGTTAATCACTTTTGTGTCTTAACTAGTTTCTCCACAGTATTCGTACCGTCAGAATTGTATATTGCTCCGACATACTGAGTTGTATAAGCACATTAACACTAATGACAGCAGTATTTGTGCTGTATCAGAAAACTTTGTGATATGAAAATCTATGGGATGATCCAATAAACCAGGTGAGACAGGACAGCTTGCACATATCTCTACTGAAACCGAGATAAGCTCATTCAGTGTCTAATTACAATGAATATTGCAATTTCGATCTGCACAGGCAACGCTGATGCAACAAAAAACATAAACCAGATCATAATCAAAATATTTAATAACATTTTCACGTCAGATCACATTTGATATCAAATAACACAAGGCAGTGATGAATAAAGTTTAACAGTGTGTGTGATTATCAAAACTAGTGTACGGACCAGAGTTTGGCTTGTGTCGCGAGTCACCTAACAAAAGCCTATCTGGTGTTGATGAGTGACAATGGCGCTCCAGAGTGGAGGAGTGACTAAGTCTATCGGGCGTTGTAGAGTGACAATGTCGGTCTGAAGCAGACGAGTGGCTTAGTCTGTCCGGAGTAGACGAATGACCAACCCTATCCGGCGTGGCCGCACCACTTGACCGTCTGGGATCACACCAATGATCCTCTATTTTCTCGTACCCACTGTCTGTGCTGCCACTTGTCCTAGAACTGTGGCGATGGAGGGACGGATATTGCGGAATGGGTGTGAAAGTTGACGGGTTCGTGTTATAATTCACAAATTTTGTTTCACCAGGAGAGAATTGTATTGAGCTAGTATCGTCTGGTCTAGTTGGAGCTGATGGTATATTCCTCACAAAAGGTTTGGACATGTGGTCCAACTGGAGCATTGTCTGTGCATATGGCTGCACGTTAGGGTCTGGAAGAGGAGGGGCACCGTAGTATGTTGTAGCTCCGGCCTGAGGCGGAAGTGTGAGAGAAGGAGCCATAAGGGGCGGAGCACCCGGATCCACCTTGTAGTAGCCATGACTGGACGAGCTGATTGTTGATCCCCTAGGGGTGGGAGGATCTGGTGTGTGGGGTTCCAGAATAAAATAGTTGTTGGGTGGTAGTGGAGGATTGTTATTGTGTTCCATATTTAAATTGTTTGGTTTAGTCGCCAAGAAAGGATCGTCTTCTCTTGACTTCTCGTAACGGGATAACTCCAGCACAGGGGCGATCTCCTCGTACGCATTCTGTATGAAAAAAATAAGTCATGACCGTAATTTACTAGTTAAAAAAACGGGACATTTAACCGTTGAATTTTACATGTTAATTTATGTAAATGATATAATATTACATTTTCACATGCACAGACCACCTGCAGTGAGTTGATGATTTATTGTTCCACAAGTCTACCCAAAGTGTGATGAATCATCGTTTCACTAGTACAAACGATATCATGTTTTATAAATTTACATATTTCATGATGTTATTGAGAAAAAATGCTATCAAGCTATAGTGTACCCGATACTTTTATCGAATCAAAAAACATGTTTATACCATATCACTAATCCTAACAATGTTGTAGGGAAAGTTATTTACTCCAGCAATTCTAGAATCTGACGTCACAAATACTCTTGTTTGACACGAAAGTTAACATCATATTTACTTCCACTGGTTTACAATAAAGGTCTTGAACGCATTTTTGTAGAAATATCGATGAAAATATATTCAGCCTTTAAATATACTATTGCTTCATTTACAATAATGTGTATAAGGAGTATGAAATAAAAATATCTATTTTATAACGAAAAGCGTTAAGAAATACTATTTGTCTTGTAAAGTCGATATCCATGCACAACGTCTTTGTCGAAGTTCACAGATAAAGAAGATTTGTAGTAATAAAGAGTCTTGTGTTTCAATTTAGATCTCGTGAGAAATCGTTTTTGTTTACTTCCGGTTTCACGATACAACTCCCGGTCAAACGGTACTGCTTGGAATCGAAATGTTCTTAAAAGCACTCCTAACATGATGCAAAAACCAGAAATCAGAAGACGCGGTAAGAACATATAAAAGGTGTTGATAACAATGAAATGCACGTGCTAGGATGTGCAGGTATTTTCGTGTAAATTTATACACAATCCTTATATACATTGTATCATATTTCCCGCTTTGATTCAGAGGTTGTCATTCATCAAGGTAGAATATAAAAGGGATTGAATCTGAAAATATTTTGTTTCCTTTACCAACTGTTTTCTATTCTTTATCAATTTTTTTTCTTTATCAAGTATTTTGTTGTCTTTATCAAATGTTTTATTTTCTTTATCGAGTATTTTGTTGTCTTTATCAAATGTTTGATTTTCTTTATCGAGTATTTTGTTGTCTTTATCAAATGTTTTATTTTCTTTATCGAGTATTTTGTTGTCTTTATCAAATGTTTTATTTTCTTTATCGAGTATTTTGTTGTCTTTATCAAATGTTTTATTTTCTTTATCGAGTATTTTGTTGTTTTATTTTCTTTTTATCTTTATCAAATGTTTTATTTTCTTTATCATGTATTTTGTTGTCTTTATCAAATGTTTTATTTTCGAGTATTTTGTTGTCTTTATCAAATGTTTGATTTTGTATTTTGTTTCTTTATCAAATGTTTTAATGTATTTTGTTGTCTTTATCAAATGTTTTATTTTCTTTATCGAGTATTTTGTTGTCTTTATCAAATGTTTTATTTTCTTTATCGAGTATTTTGTTGTCTTTATCAAATGTTTGATTTTCTTTATCGAATATTTTGTTGTCTTTATCAAATGTTTTATTTTCTTTATCAAGTATTTTGACTTTATCAAATGTTTTATTTTCTATATCAAGTATTTTGTTTTCTTTATCAAATGCTTAATCGATATCTTTAATATTAAATAAATAATATTTATTCCTTGCGAAAGAAATGCAATAATCAAACTCTTTATTGATAAAAACACCGAAATGATTCATTTTAAACTTTGTCACCCATTACAGAATGTTATTATAGCTTGTGTCATCAGAAAATTGCATTGATTTTAATATATTTTTACTTATATTTCGATCATATTTCCTATCGACTAAGTGAAGTTGTGATATGATTCGATTTAAAATCCCAACGTAATAGATGTTGCCATAGATCACAGCCCACCTTTTATGTACAGAAAGCTCCTCTGCTGTTGACTTATGAAGAGAGGCTAAAGAACACTTACCGAGAGCTCGTCACTTTCCCTTGTTGATTTCTCATTGGTGCCTGGATCCCCAAGATGGCGCTTGCTGTAATTAAAAAAGATTGATGAAAGAGAAACCCATAGTTTTAATGAGTAGAAAGGAACCATCAATTTAATTTTGTTTTAGAAATATTAGTCGAAAGGTTAAAACATTTGAATTCTTGACTTCCGGTATTCCCATAACAATATTGACTTCGTCTCGAGAACGTTAATTACATTTTGGAACCTGATAACGTCGATGTTGAATTCCAATTACACAAAACACATATATAAAAGTACTAAGCAAGCCAAGGTAAAGTCTATATAATCAGCAAATTTATTGTAATCAGGGGATAAATTTGGCAGCGACTGAATCCAATTATTGTTTGATTACTTTTGTTATGACATTGTTATTACCGTATGAAATATTTTATAGATCTATATAGAATTCTACAGGGAAAACTTAAAAGCGAAATAACACGAGATAAAATATCGATACCTCCTCGTTCCTCACTCGCCCTCGGGTATGTTTTTTTTTTTTTTTTTAAATATTCGGCAAAAGTGAAACTGTAAACACAAGTGGAAGAAGCTTACTCAGCCCCTTTTCCACTTTTTAAATGTCAGACTCCATGCAAATATTGTGTTTATTTAATGAGATGAAGTTGTACTTGATATGTTGACACGTTGTTTTGATGGGTTGTAATTCTGTATTGAGTTGATGCATTTCTACACGAACTGGTTGAATCTTTATCAAGAACAGGATTTAAGATTATATTCTGATGAGCTGTTGAGTGGTATTTAACCCCTGTAGTCATATTTCGACTTGGTTTAGTATGGATTTGATCTTTAGTTCCGAAAGGTTGCTGTTCTAGGTTAATGAGATTTAATTTTATTTCCTTTGGTTGTTGTTCTGTTTATATGACATGTCATTCAATGATGATTGCTCTTCTCTTTTATTTTTTTCTGCAACTTCATTGGAATGAATTTCTCTAACAAGCCTCCATGCCTTTTGCTTGGCTTTTGGTCTATTCGACGGGGTTTTTGTTTTCTGGATTTGTAGTCCTTGTAACAGCCAGATTTTTTGAGGTAGGGTTTCCTGGTATCTCGTTATTACCTCACTTCAAAGCCTGTAGGCTTTCCCTCACATGCTATCTATAGCAATTTCATTAAAGTTTCTTGAACACAACCAAGACAACATGGGACAACCCCTGATCCTGGGAAGCACAGAGAATGGATCGAACCTTTAAAAATATTTTCATTTTAATTAAAGTATATTGCATGGCGTCATTTCGGTATGTTGTATTACTTGTTATCTAAGTATTTAATTACTACTCTATTCCTGTTACACATCGACCAGAAATTCGCAGTGAGGCATTATTTCCCAATACTTAATAATGTTTTAAATTGTAAGTAAAACAAATAAAGCGAACTTTTTTCAATTACAATTTAAAAATAATAAATCAACTCCAGCATTTTAGGATATCTTTGCGATTGAATTAATTTCCCCTGTTGGCCTCAGACCACAGTAAATTCATGAAATATTGGTAACTAGATAGGTTTGTGCTATGTTCATATCATCGGAGAACCCGACTCCTATTTAGGGAGAGGCGTGCACCTGTAATGTGCTGCTGACTTTCGTTCAGACTTCACCAATAAGCATGGTTAGTTTCAACGTTAACAATCAACGACATCGGACAAGTCGGCTTTCTCTCAATTCAACACATACAAAACATTTAATGTTTCAAAGCCTTTTATCGTAACAAAAATATCCGAGTCGATATTGATTTTCTTCAAATACATAAATGCTAATTACGTAAAGTTGATGGTACATAGCAGAGTTCGTTCAGATGAATCATGAACGTATACGATTTCATTCAAATAAATCAACCTTGCAAGGGAAGTGTCACAGAAGAAAACACGAATGGATTCAAGAAGGATATACTTTTTTCTGTTTCCAGTTTTCTATTTGAATTGATAAAAAGAATTACAGCCTTAATCCCCCGTAAATATAAACTAATGCCGTAAGGAGAGAAGAAAATTACAGCGTAGTCTAGAAACCCCAGTCAAATTTCATTTTCATTTCTCATTGTGTTCCCACATCGCAGGATCAAGCTAGGGCATTTATCGGCTCCAGCGAGTGAGGAATATTTTTTTCTTGTCGCCATTGTTTCCAGCATGTATATTGTATTCCAGTAGACTACAAGTTACATTTGACACGTCACTCGTCATTTCTAGCATGTAGACTCAAGATTATTCTCCTTGTCATATATCACATATGGATTTACTTTGCCATCACAGAAAAAAAAAGAACACGAGCCTTATATTTTATACTTATACCTATATACATGTATCTAAGTGTACTATCATATCAGAAAATTGTGATATATACAAAGGTAGACTGCAATACACTTCAACAATTTATCCATTTGTACGTGTGTGTCTAAATCCTCAAATCATACAGTAAAATATTTGTAGGTTTTTACCTAGCACAGGTAGATATATTATTTCAAGTGCGTATGACGGCTAAAGCGTACAGTGATTCAGCTTAGTGCTACCCACAAGACCTACAGTGTAGCTAACACAATTATGTAAGACCACCATCATAGCTTGGCGGAAATTTTTCTCATTCATGACTGACAGCTCCAGACATGTTTTCTATTTCAAATTATTTTGAAGATATTCTTTTATGAAACGACTAAGGTGTCCTACTGTGTTAATTTCCATTTCTTAACTTTTATTTGAAATTTACATTTCTACCCGGTGATTTGTCTGTTTGCAGCTTAATAATGTGTGTGACTTGGAACTTTGAGTAGAGACCATGTGCAATTCGAAAGTCGGTGTGATTTTGGGACTTTATGTGACATGAAAGATTTGAGGCTTTGTGTGGAGAGATACTTTGAGACTTGAAACGGTGTGACTTGAAACTTTGTTTGACATGGTACTTTGACGCCATACTTTGTGTGACTTGGGACTTTGTTTGACGCCAGACTTTGTGTGACTTTGGACTTTGACGTCAGACTTTTATGTGACTTGAGACTTTGTTTGACCCCATACTTTGTGTGACTTTAGACTTTGTTTGACGCCAGACTTTTTATGACTTGAGACTTTGACGCCAGACCTTGTGTGACTTGAGACTTTGTCCGACACTGGATTTTGAATGAGGTGAGTGGTATGACATGACACTGTATGTGGTTTGGGTCTCTGTGACTTTGTATGACGAAGTATTTGGATCCTTATGAAAAAGGGATCTAAGCATACCTCCTTAACCCTGATACATCTATAAATATACTTACACAACCGTATTCCGCCGACAAATCCACAACACTGCAAACAGGACGAGCAATAGGGCAACAAAAACACCCATAAACACAGCCACTGTGATGGGGACCAGATTGTCACGGCCCTGGAAGGGCGTGGCACCTGTCGCCTGGGTTGTGCTACTAAGTTGCGGTGTGGTGGTAGGTCGATGTGGGGGTCGTGGAGTCTCCGGATCAAACGGATACTTCACATAAGGCGTGGTATGTTTCGGCGTTGGAGCTGGTGTAGGACGAGGTGTTGTAGACGGGACGGGTGTAGGGGGCGGGGCAAACGTTCCACCCGGTGATGAAGACTTTGCTGCAATGACAAATGCTAAAGTATTAAAACTTAATCTAGACCAATATATACAAACCAAAACAAAGAAATACATTAGGATGCATGCTGGGTAAAGTCATAGAAATCACATAAAATGCAGCAACTTCAATGGAAAAAAAAGTCCACAAACGTTTAACATCATTGGGCTACAACAGAATCAATAAAACGTCACTCTTAGCTAGATCAATAAAATCAATCTGAATACATCTACGAAATCTTAAATAATACAGCTTATTCTAGATGTATGTGTTGTTACGTCATTGAAAGTAAGCATTGCGCGTGCTGTCACTGAAATCAATAGGGATTAATATGATCTAATATGTGATGATACTTTTGAAGTCCAATGCAAGTAATTTGATATTTATCTGTGTTTTAGATATTTCTAAGAAACTGTTTATTGAAATTGGTGAATCAATCAACTTTACAACTATTAATTAAATTAAAAAAAAAACACCAAAAAGAACAAAACAAAAACAAACAAAACTAAAAAAAAATAATATGTAAGATTTAAATTCGTTTGGTAATCCACTAGAAATAAACATTGTTTACAGAAATTAAAAACAAACTTTAAGTATTTAGATTGTAACTTAGACGAAGTTTATATGACTTTTGACAAAGTGTTTGCTATGATTAAAACGTGAATCATCATTTATGTTTATTAAAGTATTTCTATAATTAGAAATATTCAGAATAATCGCGGTGTGCATATTAAAAGCCAGACATCGGGCTCCATGTAAAACTTCAGGATAATGACCCGAAATATAACTCCAAACCATCAAATCTAGGATTATATAATTCCGTATGAACCTCATCCGAGGACTGTAATTGTATGCAATTAAGCATGTGTGGTATATAATGTCTGTTGAACGACCATAATTACCACAATATACGGGCGAAGAATTACGACAATGAAGGAACAGTCGTGACGCCGTATCTAATATCAAAACAGTCCTGTACCACCAGTGATTATTGATCATTAAATATCGCTTAAAGACCTCGTGCGACCTTGACTCTAAAGCAGATACCAAGAATGTACTTTAATGCTGTGATTAGGTAAGTTGATCATTCCCTATGTATTCTCACACGTAATACAACTACATATTTCATTACAGACGGTTTATCATCCATAAACAGTGCTTGGGTAATTTAGACTCCGGTTCAAGAAAGCATCTTTGACGTATCGTGGCTGGCATTTCTGTAACAAACACCGCAATTATTCGTCGGGTTGTGAATGAAAATTTACGTTTAAAGAGGCTTCGCTCTCGAACCCAGAACCCCTTACTTCCAACTCGTTGTCAAAAAACATCAATCTTGTTTCAACGAATATAGAGTTCATTTATGTATCATATATCAATCTTACCTTCGTAATATTGAATATCGAATATTCCATTGCATCCTGAATGAATCCACATTGAATTGTTGAATATTCCGTAACTAATTCCTTTGGAACATGGTCCGTGGGAAGGAAGTTCATATTTCAATTCCACATCCTTAACTAGCCTAGCGCCCTCTACCTCACACATTTTATAAGTATCATCCAAGTTCCGGCACTCTAGTGTCCTCTGTCGAAGTTGTGAACCAGAAACATCTGAATAAAAACAGAATGTATTAACGATTAGACATTTTGAATGCTTTATTACCTACGATGCATGTCTACAAAAGTCTCAATGTCGCTAAGAAATTTCGTTCAAACTTTAGTGTTATGGAATCATGAGCAAACCATAAGAAACGTGAAAAAAAAGAATAGAATCGTGAGAACACGAATTAAATCGTGAGAACACGAATTGAATCGCAAACGAGTCATTTAGTAAAATCGTAGTGTTTAGAAAGAAGGCAATGAACAATAATTACATCAGAAAATGCCATTGTCACTCTGATAAGCCAGATACTGTGGTGCATTTAACAGGTCTTAGAAGGATCTTCGCCCCTCCTTTTGCTTCTATATGGATTGAACCTGTGGTATTGATGACGAGGTCAAAAGTATATATTAATCATTATAGCAGTCTGAAAAGGCTTAAAGTGAGGATAGCATTCAATCTCCTGACTAACCGGGTAACGCAAAGGGAAATTCTAACGTGTTTGGTATGTTTTTTTCTGGAATCAAGAATCCATTTTATTCCTCTGATACAACATTCAGTAATGACTAACGACCGATATGTCTGAGTACGACCCCTCCCCTCCAATACTTTCTGATACGTGTGAACTTCATCCACATGGCGTTCCCATTGAACTGTCTGTACATGGAAACCCGACTTCCATACTGCCAACACAACACAGAGAGTGCCTAATTACTATGGTGATTATTTAACACATAACTCATACACTATAAAACATTGATGTTTTTTATGATGGCACAACACTACCAACAAGTCACTAACGCTATAGTACATCTGGTTAAGTCCCACAAGTGAAACTCGTCCCCTTGGCTCTTTATTGTGATGAAGAATTAAGGAAGTCTGGTGCGAATTGCTTTACACATTGCACAGGTATTATGGCTCTGAAATACGGGCAGAATCTAAAAGATAAAACAAATGTTTATGCTGCCTCCATGGACATTAAAAGTTTCTGATTTTTTGTTTACCACAAGATGTATAAAAATATAATTCAATACAACTTGAGTGAGTGCACTTTACACTGTTAACACTATCATCAGAAAACAGCAATTCGTGTTCCAGCGTTTCACTAGGTCTTCTATTACGAACACGCGGCCTCGTATATATCAGCGTTTTCATACACTTCAATTCAGAACATTCGATTACCGGTAGTTAACTTTAGTTTTTTCAGAATGTTTTTAAAAATGCAATCAAAGGCAAACATAAAAACCCAACTTTGAATTTGCTACATCTAAAGCTACGTTGATTAATATTTCAAGTGGTTGTGTTCCTCTAAGGCCTAATGACTTATAGTTAATGGCCTTCTGCCGTACTGCAATGGCTACATTTATCAACATTTCTAAATTAATCAAGCCGACCGAAAAAAACGAATCATTTTTATTATACATCCCGCCCCACCCCACGAATTCATCTCCATCCGGGAGATCTAAGATGGCTACTATTCTCTCAGGTACTTATTTAATGTGCGATCTTTGTCTTCCATTTGAAGATAACGTTTTATATGTTGAGTTTCATGTTAGTTGAAACGAGAATAATTTCTACCAGGGGATCGAACCGGTGAATAAAATGGCGCTATGATAGTCGCTGGTTATCAGAAATTGTTTCAGACTTCATTGCTGAAAGGCGTTTAATTCTAGGTACAATCTTACAGCTCGTAAAAGCTATCTTGCATATTATATGAACTTTTTTTTCAAAGATTTGATTCAAATACAAGTGCAATGCTCTTCTCAAGATCATTATCAAATGATCCAGCAGTGTTTAACTTACCTAGTTTAAATACACACCAGTGTACATTATATATGGGAGCTGGGGTCAACCTCTAGTTTAAAATTAAGAGACCTGTGGTGTCACACTGCCTGATCATATGTATAGAATAAAGCACCCCTGATAATATGTGTAAATGTATGCCCTTTAAAATGACAATACATGACGCTGTTCATTATTGTAAGACTTAGAACCTCGAACTTCTTTTCTTTTCTTATTTTGTCAGAATATTTTATTGGGTTCTTCTTTATTGAGATAACATATTAAAATAGTCCTTAGTAGTCCACTTATCTGTGGGCACCGTCTTCGTGAGATATCCCGGAAATCCAAACAAAACTAAGAATATACCTTTGACGTAACAAGCTTCGAAGCTAGCCTTGCAGCCATCTTGTACCCAAACGGAATTGTTATGGACGCCATAGTTCTCCGTGCAGACTTTTTTGTTGTTAGTGGTCATCGTCACATCGAGGCAGGTCAGCCAGCCGTCCGCCATTTTACAATCTTGATGCAGACCGTAGTGTAGAGACGTGCACGTCGTGCTCGCATGTTGGCCACATACGAGTTGTTCTGAAAAAGTAAAAAAAAAGGGGGGGAAACGTGAAATCAGCTGAATTGATATTTAATGTAAATATAAACCAGGTGGTTTTCTATACGCCTTTGGGGTGGTATAAGATGAAAACGCGAGAGTGAAAAACCCGGACACGCGAACTGCAAATTATTGCATATTTAGCATAACGACTGTTACTAGGTGATTGAGTACAACTTCTATACACGTAATGTATACAACAGGGACGAAACGTCTGTCCATCACAAACACATATATATACATACATATTGTTCAACGCTGAATTAAAATAGAAGTGCTTACTTCCAAGAACACGCAAGGATGAATCTACACAATTTATTGATTCCATTCGTGTAATGTCTTTATATCTTTCCGCCGATAGATGCAATCGCGTGATTGAACCGACCAAGTAAAGTGAATCAGGAAGCAGTCAGTAGATTGTTCAGTTTTAAATACATCGAGTGACAGCATTGCTGTAGAAACCTGTTTCTGCAGCCAGCACGGATCTTCCTGGCCAACTCTAATATCAGTCTAAAAATACTACGTGTTGCGACATCGCCTTGGTTCTAATGGTACAACCCGCGATAACCTTCAATAAAGGTATGAACATGGCTACCAACAAAACATTACAATGTAAACCATGGGTTTATTTTTACCAAAAAGGACCAGGTGTTGGATGCAATCGACAAAACTAACTTGATGACAAGACAAATTTAAACAACACAAATAATCTAATCTTGAATTTGATTCATTGTTGTCTTCTGGATTTTTATATCCCAGAAAAAATTTATTTTTCCATTTTTTTTAAATGCACGCCGCGGACAGAAGTTCAGTAATATAGCTGTATTTTCCGAGAGCCGATACCATGCATTGTGAATGAATTGTAGTGGATGCCGGTGGAGACTAATTAGTATTGATAAGGCTCTGTGTTAGATTACAATGTCAAACGACTCAATCGATGTTACATTATCTAAAAACTTCATCAGTTTTTTTTATCGGAAACAGCCTTGAAATAAAAGGGATCTTCATCGTATCACCGTTTTATAAGATCCGATTACAACCGCTCCAAACAGGGCGGTAAATGAGCTGTGAAATTATGCATAAGATCTAAAAGAAACATTCAACATGTCAATGACAACTGCCGATAGGGTTCATCCGTAGTCTAGAAAATGCTGGGGATTAACGATACAAATAACAGCATTAATATAGTTTACAAATAGAATCCCTGTCGTGGAAATAGAGCAGGAGATATTATGTGAACCCTCTAATGCTTAACTGCATACAAGCTATTCCGTGCTGAGATAAATACCACCTCGTCGTTTTTACTTGTAATAGATATGATAAAAATGTTCGAACCTGTGTTGGATATAAATACACATTCCGTAATGATGTTCAGATTCAGAAGATGAACATTTCATTGGTATTTATTCAACATCGGATATGGTTGAAGGTTGTTCACTCGTATATGATAAGATGTGTCTTTAATATTTTTGACTTTATGTAAATTCTTGTGTTTTTTCTGAAAGGCCGCCATTAATGACACCATGATACAGCGCGCATGTCTACAAGACGGAGACTGAAGACGAGGTTAAGTCAGCTTTACAGTTCCAAAACTGCTTTATAAAAATTATAGATATGTATATCATACAAGTGCAACTATGATTCGGTCCTGTGAAACATAATATTTTTGTGTAAATAAAACCATTTGATTAAAACATTTTCCGATAAGAAAAACTACCCTGCAATGAAAACAAAAGCAAAACTGACCGATCTTTTTACCAACGAGAAAAGAAATCTTGTAAAGAAAGGAAAGTACGCCACGTACAACATCTTGGTCTTTCATCTGAACTACGTCTCGATCGATCAGCGTTATACGTATCCGTCGCACGTGCATTGCGCGAATCTAATCCATGGGTAGGTACAGACTTGCTAGAACGTGCACGCCAATCTTCCAATTAAAGTTGATATATGGAAACTAACATCACAGACAAGTTCTCCGGTATGACATTGAAGGTTCAGCGCTATGTTAATGTTGGTATTACTACAGAAAAGATATACCGTCTGGTGTGGGGTTTTATTTCATCATACAGCTGTTTCAGGTCTCTGACAAAAACTGCTGATATGAAACGGCGGACGTTCCAAATCACACATGTTTACAAATAAACATTTTGAAGTAAGTTGTTTGTGGAACATAAATCTTTTCTGTGGAAAAATCAAAGTTTGGCTTCAAACGACAAACGTCACGTCATGATTCTCGAACACAAACGGAATGCATAGCCGACAATAGAAAAATAAAAAACAGGCGAGATTTGTACTAAGTAAACAGTAAGGTATTTTGCGGATTTCCTTGTATTAACCCGTCAGCATTTAGCTTGGAAAGAAAAACAAAATACTGTACGGAGTCGTAAGAAACCAGAAACCTGTCAACAAACGCCTTGGAGTTAAAAGGAAATAATTCCGTGAAATCAGACGTGGTTTTAAATTCCATTAGTATCTGTTTTCTGACTGTTTTGAAACGTGTATAAATATGTCTTCACCGGTCTGGGGCAGAACCCCATCTGGAATCGATAAGTCTCCCACTCGCATTTACACAACTAACTTTTAAAGAGAATTTATGGTCCAAACACGGATTTTAACGTAGAGGGAAAAAAACACTGATTGGAGCCATCTTGTCAGTAATGCAAAAAGATACCCGGGGGTCGGGTAAGACCACGGAACTATAGTTTATATCGTGTTGATAGGAAAACACGTCAACTATTGATAGTTGTCCCTACGAGGGAGTTCTCAGCACAGCTATTACCAGCCCTTAAAAAAAAGAAAAAAGAAAAAGAAAAGAAAAAGACGAAAGATGTCAATACGTTTCAAATTTTCTGAGAGTCATTTTGCATGTCCCGCGATGTAAAGCTTTATCATGTATTCGCCATATTGGAAGGAAAATACAGCTCTAAAACACTGCAAGTACTACCGCTAGTTTTGTCAAAGATGACATGTCTCGTTATCTAAGTCAAACATCGAGACAAAAAAAAACAAACATTCCTATTGATACAGCTGATGTTTGATTATACAAAGGAAGGAAGCGCGTGATGACTATAAAGCCATTCTCAGTTGCAGCAGCAAAACGCAGCGTCATCACCATTAAGTTCTTCAATGGCGGATGTCGCACAAGACAATTAATTACTGATGGTTTTAGAAATGTTATTTCTATAAAGAGTAAGATAATAGAAGATTAAAAACCAGAGGGTTCAGAGATGTTATTCTGATAAAGGGGAGAAAGAATAGAAAATTAATACCAAAGATGGGTTTAAGTTAGTTCAAACAAAATGGTTTTAGCTTTTAAGCCTCATTATCGCTCAGTAAGCCGACTGGTAATTGTGAAGCCCGATACGGAACGTTACAATGTCCATTCATGAATGTGTCCCTGTCTGTACTAGATACCTTACCAATAGGCCCCGTGACCCTTGCGAGGTCGAAAGTCTATCGACTAAATACAACATTTATGGAGTTTCCGAGAGTTCTAGTCTATAGAATTATCCCCAGGTGATTAACGTAAGGGAGAAATGTTCACTCACAAAGACAAGTAATGGGTGACAATTTAGCTGTAATGGCGAGAAAACTGAAGAACATTACAATGGTACTAAAAGCCGTTTGTTTCTTATTATGTCTATTTGTAAAGTTAGATGTCCGATCAGTCACGTGCTCCGTTATAGTCATTTTAGTTACGAGCGTATCCCGGGGTCAGACAAAGGTCAACTAATGCACAATATGGCTTGAATCAGGACTGCAATATCGAACGCAAAACAGATCCTTATTATCAAAAATAAATAAATTTTTTTCAATAAATGTAACATAGACTTTATCACGTGGGTTTACCAAGTAACACCTTTGTATACAAAAAGTCGTTTGGTTTTGTTATATTTTTATTTTATAACTAACATATGATATAGACTTTACATAAACACGTGTTCAACAACATTTTTTTTCTGAAATAAGAACCTCGCTACAATCACGTGGCACAAGATATCTATATAGCTTTATATATACATTCCTGTATATATCATATACCTATTCAATTTGGTACGTATCTATTAAATCTTTATAATGACGAGACATTTTTGTTGTGCTTTGAGAAATGTGTATCTTTATGTAATTATTCACACCTGTACAGAGCGCAACAGACGTAGACACTAGATAATTGTGTCGTTAAAATGTCGATGTATGTTGGGTATTCCTTGACATATTGTGGAACTTCGGCTCCGACTTGTATCACTGTGTCCCGAGACATTTTTAACAGGTTTGTGTCTCAAACATGCGTCATCACTCTACATGTTCACAGTATTTATAGTTTCGTCTGATTCAATTCCGTAGACGGGCATTAATTTAAATGGGGCGGGGCAGAGGTAGAATGTTAAAGGGCAGATAACTCGACTTTATCACATACATATGTACTGTTATAAACAGTGCTAGCTTACTTTAGTGGAAAAGGGGTATACAGAGACGTCGTAACATGCACTCTTATGTAAGGCGTACATTTTAAAAGTTTCGGGAGGGGGAGGGGGGTAATCACATTGTGTACTATTAGCGTATACGTATACTTTAAAGCTACACATCGACAAATGATACAGTGCCGTAATGTTTTTTTGTAAACATTAAATGTGATCAGAATCCTTTAGTAATTATATGGTGTTGATTTCTACCTTGTATGTTCCTGTAACATAAATGTAATCTTTAAAACACCCATTACAACAATACATAATCCGGGATCTGCTTACAGGGTCTCCTCCCCGTGGAAACATTCGACATCATAATATATAGAAATAAAAAAATAGATGTTTTGTTAAGATGTATTCTTCTTAATGGTAGATCAATATCATCTCTCATTTGACAACGTTAAGACTTTCATTATCTGATATCGACGTAACAGTAATGACTGTACACTCTCTTGGCGTCAGCTATAGGCTTCACTAAGGACCACTGCTATGTTCAGTACAGATTATGCGACATATTGTAATTAACAAAGTGTTCTTATTAAGTGCTGATAGAATAAATATCTTGAGTTGTAATTTCGAGTCTGGTCGAGCCGATGAATTACTCTTCTCAAGGAGGCTTTACCACAAACAGAACACGACTGGTCACAATTTGGCTCATGCACCTAAAGCAGCCTTTTACAATATTTCCTTTGACAACTAAATGTGCATGTTATTGATCTCGTTGAGCTTGATTTTAAGCAGGGCCTATTTCATAGAATTGTATCACGTGAAATATCCATAACATTATTAATGACTTGTCAAAATACGTGAAAGGTCTTTCTATTCGCTGGAGATTCTTTATTTTCTTGTGTATCATCATTAACGAGTTACAAAATGGTATCCAGCTGGAAAAAAATCAGGCACCTATCTTGTTACCATGGAAACTTCAGTGTTGGTACACTAATTCAGATCTATACAGAACTAATCGGAAGTGACTCCATTCGTTGGTAGCCATTTTTCACAGCGTCATTATGAACAGGTGAAAAGATGCATGTAAATCAATGATTCTGTACTTGTAAAGACATGATTTATGTCCAATGATCGGGTCGAAGGCATATAATTTACCGGGTTTATTACCGTCACAAGATGTCTCTGGTATAGAAACGACCACTATGTACTATATTTGTCATTGTCTATATTGTATAATATATGAATCGGACATAGGACATGTAATCCGGATTAAGACCATCACGTAGAGCCAAATACAATCCTCTAATCAATGAAAACGTATGATTAAAAAATCCGGAATTTCTGTTAAGTATACCCACCTATACATTGATTGGAAATTTAGACAAAAGGAACCTGTTGTTTCATCCATTATTATTGGGTTGTCGTGGCATCGTTCCATTGGGTGCAAATAGTACTAAGCCGGGAATAATTTCCTCTTAACCCCCACCCTCGCTTCAGCTTTCACACCCGACAAAGAGAGGCGCCCGCACCCCATACATGGGGTCCCGCCTCATTATAGTGGGACCTGCTGTTATGTGTTGTATTTCATGATGTGATTAATTTCCTTTTCCGAGGTGAAAGTTGTTTAGAAATGTTCTACCCACTTGTACGAGGCAGAGTGGTAATCGTACCAAGTGACCTTTGTCGTAAATGAATAAAAACACTTGAGCTATCGACAGTCTTGGCTAATCAAATATCACCTGAAATAACTGTCGCCATGTCGTTTTAATGATCTGGCTGAAGACCTTATTTCTGAATACAAATGAATAATTAGTGGTTAAATATAAAAGATTTGGGGGTATATTTGCTACAAGAAATCTAACCATGATTGTCAACAATTCCAGTGGACAAACTAACGCGCCCGTCCAATTTGTAGTAAGAGAGTGTCCCTTTCTTTCTTTCTTTTTCTTTCTTTCTTTCTTTCTTTCTTCAATAACGAGTTTATAAAAGTTGTATTTTACTTCTACAAAACACTAAAATAACAAACTACATCTTCAATAAGTTATGTCTTGAGACCCACATGAGAAATTGTTATATTTTGTTTGTTATTATCAGCGTGTATGACAGGAAATTTTGACCTCGGAAGTGAGCATACTTTGTGGTACACAACACCGGGACCAAACTGACCACAGGGTCAGAAAGCAGGTTATATTTAAATCAAACTAGTCATTGTTTCTTGATGACGTGGTTCCTTCGTGACGATGTATACCGTATAGAACACACCAGACTCTCGATCAAAACATACTTAACATTTTATAAAGTGTTCCGTATACCGACTTCTGTGTCGTCAGACTAAGGCACATTCGAGTATGTGTTCGATTTCTACACTATAAATGAGGCACATTCGAACTTCGGTGTTCTCATATTTTTTGCTTGTAGACAAACTGTTTCGTCTATATTTTTTAATTGGGCATAAATC